TGGAAGCCGGGAGCCAGCCCAGTGAGGATCACGGAGCATTGGTAACACATGCAGTCCTGAGAGGTGCCGCATAGCACGAAGATGCTGCATTCCGCACCAGTTCAAGGTTGCTGGATTGACCCCAAATGCAGCATCACCCAGAAGCATGAGGAGAGATTAATAAGACTGGGACTTTTCAGCTTGGAAAAGAGACGACTAAGGGTGGATATGATAGAGGTCTATAAAATCATGACTGGTATAGAAAAAGTAAATAAGAAAGTGTTATTTACTCCTTCTCCTACTCTAGCTCACAAGAACTAGGGGACACCAAATGAAATTAATAGGCAGCAGGTTTAAAACAAACAAAAGGAAGTATTTTTTCACACAATGCAGTCAACCTGTGGAACTCCTTGCCAGAGGATGTTGTGAAGGCCAAGACTATAACATGGTTCAAAAAAGAACTAGATACATTCATAGAAGATAGGTCCATCAATGGCTATTATCCAGGATGGGCAGGGATGGCGTCCCTAGCCTCTGTTTGCCAGAATCCATGAATGGGCAACAGGGGATGGATCACTTGATGATTACCTGTTCTGTTCATTCCCTCTGGGGCACCTGGCATTGGCCACTGTCGGAAGACAGGATACTGGGCTAGATGGACCTTTGGTCTGACCCAGTATGGCTGTTCTTATGTTCTTAAGCATTGCACTGCTTTGTCTCAGGTGATAAAGGCCTGGGTCATGGGAGCAAGCCCCATCCATGAGAAATGGTCGCAACCTCCTGGCGGGACACAGGTGGTATAAGCTGAACTGGTCATGGCTACAACGTGATCATCCACGAGCAGGAGAGGATCCACCAACATGCACACATGTATGCAGAAAGTGCTGTCGCGCCTATGCTTGCAAGTGGCTTGGCCTCATGACTGACACGCTGTGCAATTCTGACATAGAGCAGCGGTGACTCGACTCTGACTGCAAAGCCAAGTGCGGTGATCAGAGCCAATCCAGAGACAGCCCGGTCATGACTCCACCACCGTCTGAATATTCACCCCTAGAACTAGTGAGGGACAGGGTCACACATGTGCAGCTGCCAGCCCTCTCTCCAATTTCCCACAGTCCTGCCTGCTTCCCTGCTCCTCCCGCAGTGAATGAGAGCCCAGCCCAGCCCTCCTACCTCCCCGGTCCTCCTGAAGGCAGGGACACAGCAGCAGGCTCATGCTTCCCAGGTGCCTTCACTCCCTCACCAGGCAGCTCTCCAGTGCGGCACTGGCAACCTCCACACCCAGCATCCCCGTCCCCAGCGGCTGAGGCTGCTCCAAGCCGGTCACCTGCCTTTATAAGAAGAAATTTAAAAAAGAATCTTTTGGGCTGGACGTGGCTGTCTCATGCCAACGCTGACAGGCTCCAATACCACAGTCTGAATCTCCTCTGGCCCAAGATAGGTTAGACTGCTAAGCCCACAGGGCATCCTCTGCTCACCCTCACTGGCTGGGGTCAATCTCACCTGGTCCACTGGAATTAAATGCAGCATATCAGAGTTCTGATGCAAGAAATACTCAGTGAAATTCTCTGACGTGTGCTATGCAGGACATCAGACTAGATGACCGTAATGGCTATTAGCCTTAAAAATCTATTAATCTATCAACCCTTTGCCTCAGAGCTTGTACCCAAGATGCAGGATTTTTGGCCTCTGTCTCTGCTTGCCCTGGTAGCTTTTTTAATTATCACGCTAGTGTCTGCAACACAAACGTGTCTCAAAGGCCAACTCTGAAAACTTTGGTTTGCTCTCTGCATACAGGAAACAAGTTGCAGGATCCTGGCAGCACATGCAAGAGAATGCGGAAAACACAAGATGCACAACCTTTGCCAAAGGGCCTGACGAAAGCGCAGAGTCTGCAGAGGGAATGCTCTTGACACAAGTTTAAGAAGTATTTTCAAAGAAACCTTTACAAGCAAATCTTAAATGAGTGTATTTAAACTCCTCCAAAACACACTGCCCATTTCTACCCCAACACAGACATTTGTGCCAAAACTTAGCATTTGAAAGTGAAAATAAAAGCACTATAAAAAAAAACCCACTGGTAAAGCTCCAGTGCAGAAGAGAACAGATGGGGCACACAGGACAAATAGAGTACAACTTGCCATTTTAAGCAGCAGCACAAGACTCCAGCAAAAATCTGTCCTCCTTAGTAGAAGAGGGCCCTTAGCTAAAGGTTGAATACCTAAAGATGGGACACACCTTAGGGAGTCTTTAAAGAGAGCGATTTAGATTGGGCTCTGTCTATGGGAGAAGTTTACCTCCATGTTCCACACCAGGGCTTTGGGACAACCCGGGAAGTAACCAGCCCCATAAAATCCAGCCCAGGCCTTATGCTGCACCCGGGGCATGGCAGGACAGGGCTGCATGGATGCCCAGCAGTGCAGACAGAGCATTAACACTCAGAGCTACAGTACACACCTTGCTGTGGAGTCACTAGCGGTGCTTTGATCGAAGGAGCTCCCTGTACTGCGTTCATTTGGCCAGCAGCCTGGAAAATGCCCAGTGTTTGGACAACTGTCAAGGAAAGGCAGGATTCAGGCTGCTGCTGTTGCTCTGTCCTCAGCCCACCCGCACTAGGCCTTGCTACTGCACTGGGCGAGAGGTGCCCAGGATCCTGGGTATGTTATGGGGCAGGACAGGCGCCGGATAGTGTTGGAACACCTGCGCGTCTCCCTCTTCCATGTAGTGAGACACTTGACATCACGTAAAGGTAGGTTGGGAACTAGAATTGGAAGGCGAAAGCCAAGCTGCAAATCGGAATCGTCAGCGTAAGTGTATCCGTCGCTCACTGAGATGGCGTTGCCAGCATGATGGATGGGTGTCAGGTGCTAGTGTGAGAGGAAGGCACAAAGTCTGAGCATAGTGTGTACCTGTGCAAGGCCCAATGCAGCTCCACTGCCAGTGAGGAAAGAGCAGATGGGGCTTTGAAGGCCCTGCCCTTCCTGGAGATGAGCGGCGGGTGTCCTGCCAATCTCCCAGAACGGGGTGCGTGGGTGTTCTGGGCGTGTGCCAGCATGACAGAGCACACAGCGGATCTACATGGCCACCAACACACTAACAAACATTAGGCTCTTCCCACTGCTCGCCCTGCTCCCAGCACCAGCAGCTTTGCCTGATTGCATGGGCTAGGATGCCCCAGAGCTGCCTTGGGCAATGCCCTGTCCCTTGGATTTTACTAGGGCAACACTTGAATCCTCATGCGATTTCCTTCCTGGTGGGACTGAGCCCGGGGCTAAGGGGCCAGTCCTGCCCCCACATAAATCATGGGGAGTTTTGCCACCTCCAGCACTGCCGCTTCCTGTGTCAAAAAACACCCATCAACATCCCTCGTAAACAAGCCCTCCACCCCGACCGTAGAAGAGCTTTCACTGAAAAAAGGGGAAGGGTGAGAGACACAACTAAGCCCATTAGAGACTTTGCTGTTGCTACTGACAACACAGAAGGCGCTCATGTACTACAGCAGGGGTGGGCAAACTACGGCCCAGGGGCCACATCCGGCCCTTCAAACGTTTTAATTCAGACTTCGAGTGCCTGTTGGGGAGCGGGGTCCCGGAAGCAGCGGCATGTCCCCCCTCTTGCTCCTACACGTAGGGGCAGCCAGGGAGCTCCGCACGCTGCCCCTGCCCCAAGCGCCGCCTCCGCAGCTCCCATTGGCTGGGATCTGAGGGCAATGGGAGCTGCGGGAGCAGCGCCTGCGGATAGGGCAGCCCGCAGAGCTGCCTGGCCATACCTCTGCGTAGGAGCCGAAGGAGGAACATGTCGCTGCTTCCAGGAGCTGCTTGAGGTAAACACCGTCCAGAGCCTGCACCCATGACCCCCTCCTGTGCACCAACCCCCCTGCCCCATCCTGATCCCCCTCTGAACCCCTGGGTCCTAGCCCGGAGCAACCTCCTGCACCCCCAACCCCTCACACCCAGCCCCACCCCAGAGTCTACAACCCCAGCCGAAGCCCTCATGCCCCCCTGCATCCCAACCCCCAATTTTGTGAGCATTCATGGCCCACCATACAATTTCCATACCCAGATGTGGCCCCCGGGGGCCAAAAAGTTTGCCCACCCCTGTACTACAGCCACAACAGGTGATAGGGTAAATTCTTAGGACAATCAGACAGAGACTTCAAGGAGCCCAGTTCCCACAGGATAGCTGATTACTATACAGAAATAATCATAAAGCCAGTACCGGATGGAGGTGACATTGGGAGCAGCACCTTCCTGGAGATCAGTAACTGGATTGTGCAGTTGCTTTTAGCCACACCAGACACAGTTCCAGGTTTTACATTAATCACTTTACAAATTAAAGCAGGTTAACAAATCTCGAAGGCTAGTCACCAGAACGTAACAGCTTTGCTCCAACAGAGACTATGGGTGAAGCCAGGACCAGGCCAGGAAGCCTCACAAAGGGATAGGTGCCAAGGCCCTGAGTGCTAGGTCTAGGGGAGAAATGACAACTAGCCCTCCCCAGGAGGCCACGGGTGCCCCCGCCGTGCTGCATGCAGCCGTACCCCTTCGGACCCAGGCACACCCCTGTGCCACCTCCTATGCCGTGCCCAGCACCACGAGGGCTCAGCCATGCCCACGAGTCCAGCGTTCAGGGCAGCCACACGTCAGCCCGGGGAACCTTCGGGGAATAGCCCCTCGGCAGGGGACGTGTGGACCCAGCAGGGTCCCGCCTTCCAAGGGGCAGAGAGGAACAGAGCTGGCGGCAGCTCTGCCCGGCCAAGCTGGCGGCAGCTCTGCCCGGCCAAGCTGGAAGAGAGATTCATTCCCCGGCCGAAGGAGAACCGCGAGGCGGCTGGGCAGGGGCGGCGGACGCGGGGGATGGGGAGAGGAGAGAGGAAGTTGCTTTTAAAGGAAAACAGCTCCCGAAAGAGAAGAGGAACGGCGAGGGGGCTCGGGTCCGGGTCTCCCCAGGGGCGCGGTGGCCGGGGAGGGGCTGTCGGAGGGTTGGGGACGCAGGAGCCTCCCCGCCTCCCGGTCTCTTACCTGGAGCTCGGGGGTGAGGGCGCCCGTGCAGCAGCCCCTGCAGGCGGCTCATGCGGTGGCGCAGGCGGCCGGCCCGGCGCCCCAGCGCCAGCAGGTGCCCCTCGATCTCGCCGAGCAGCGCCAGCGAGTGGCCGCACAAGTCGGCGAGCTGGCGGAGCAGGGTGAGCGAGGCCAGGCTGCAGACGTCCCGCAGCTCGACCAGCTGCAGCGCGGCGCGGCTGGGGCAGAGACTGCGGGGCAGCACCGTGCGCCGGTAGAAAGGCATGGCCGGGGCGCCGGTGCCCAGCGCAGGGCAGGGCAGCGCCCTGCCTGGCCCAGGCTCGGTGCGCGCAGCGCGGAGTCCAGGCTGCTCCGGCCGGCGGGACTTCCCCGAACCAACCCCGCGGCGAGGGAGGGGTGTGGGCTGGCTGTAGCGCCGGCCTGCCGGGCCGCTCCCTCCCCCGGCGCCGGGGACACTTGGGGGCGCGGCGCCAGGGATCCCCCCTGCCCGGTCGGGGGGGAGGGAGTGTTTGTGCCGCCTTTTGAGATCCGCGGAGACATAAGTGCTGCGCCCTCTGCGCCCCGACCGAGCCCGGGGGTGTGTGAGGCGCTTCCCAGCCTGGGACTGGGGCAAATGTCCGATCCTGCAAGCCCCTGCGCAGCAGCACTCCCTCCCATTGAGCTCAAGCCAGCGAGGCTCCCCGGCTGTGCAAGTGCCTTCAGGATCGGGTCCTCAATAAGCAACTACCCTGCCCAGGGACGCAGCAGGTAGTGGCCCAGCTTGCAGGGGAGGTTTGCTTTGCCAGGGCTTGCCCCAGATGGCTGTCTCTGTCCCCTCCTCTAGCCTGCTCTCTCTCCAGAGCCCCATACCCTGGTTCTAGCATTGCTTTGGTGCTGTGCCAGATGCTACATGCAGCCAGCCCCACAGTGAAATTACAGGGGCCCGATCCTATGATACATCTGGCCATAGTGCTTATTGTTGTGTTGAGTCCCACTGATTTTGCCTGGTGGTGACTGCAGGATTGGGCCCTACTAGAAGACCACACAGGAGGGTGACACATTTATGGCCTTGAAGGACTCAGTGAAGATTAGCCGGACACTTGCCATAGGGGTAACTGGACACCAGGTGCCGGAAGGGAGGGGGATCAGATTTCTGTAACCCTGACTATCTTGGAGCGCTGTGTACAGGGCCATGTGCTGCCATCCTTCCTCACACTGCCCTGAGCTCACTCTGGGGACAGACCCTCGGGGAGTAGAGACCCAACAGAGCAGGGTTAGGCCCAGTGCCATAAGGAAGAGGGATTGGTGCAGAATCAGAGCACTCCTGTCATGGTATCCATGTGATTCCCTCCTTGGCGGTAAGTGATTTCCGCCTTCCTAGGGCTGTTTCCTTTCCAAGCATGGCTGTGTTCTGCGATGATACCAAGGAATCTGAAACAATACAAATAACATTAAAACCCCCCTCAGCAACACCCTCCTCCCTTCCAGATCCCACAGTCCTCCTGGACTCCTTAGTGCACATCCTGTCAGGACAGCCTGATCCTGCAGACATGCCTGGCCTTCGCCTTTAGCCTCCCTCACGTGTTCTAAATTCTTTCCCCTCCCTCCACTCTGGAAGGCATGTGCTAAGTGTGCTCTTGAATCCCTGGGCAGCCTTGCTTGGGTAGCCAGCAATAAGCTGAACCCACCTGGCTCCCTTTCCTGAACAGCTCCTTTTCCTTCTTTCTGTCCATCTCAAGTTCTCTGTTACTATCCTCCCTTTCTGTAGGGCTCACCCTGCTCCCTGCAGATGCACCTCCCTTGGGACTGTGGAGGGGATGGGGAGAAAGCAGGCGGAGAACCCAGGTCTCACTTGTCCTAAAGGGAGCCACGGAGCCACTGAAGAGGGAGAAGTCAGGGGCCTTGTCCACTCTGAGGAAGGGACTATGCTGAGGATGTGGCTGTTTGGCTTGCTGGGGAACGAGCTATCCCATTACATGGTGTGCGAGCAAACTCAGGAGCGATGAAACCTGTCAGGCTCCCTCCAGCACCCCTAATTCCCATCCACACTAGTGGGAACTTGGGCTCAGCTGCCTTCACTAGCTAAGTGCTTACAATCATGTCTTCCTCTAGTGGCCACTGCGGTGACTCTGCAGCTCATGTCTAACATGGGAAGGAGAGAGCTCTGGCGGTGCAGGGCTTTTAATGCTGAAGGCCTCAGGTTCGTTCCTGCTGACCACCGTGGTGTGACCTACTAGCCAAGTCACAGCACAGGCTGCCAGGAGCCATCTAAAAACACCTTTTCTGCTGCACTGGCCTGGGTAGGTCCGGCCCCCAGTGAACAGGCTCTTCTTTGGGTGTGGCCAAGCCCAGGGGGCATTTCTGGTTCTTTCCCACCACCCGTTTTCTCGTTCAGAGGGACAGAGCCATGACCAGTCTTGAACCAGTGCGATGGGATAAGAACAGCAGGCTTTGAAAGCTGGGCAAAGGAGCAGAAAGGCCTGGAACTAGGGGTGCTGGGGGGAGCTGCCACACCCCCTGGCTTGAAGTGGTTTCCATCATATGCATGGTTTGCAGTTTCGTTCAATGGTTCTCAGCACCCCCACTGTACACATTGTTCCAGCACCTCTGGAAAGGCACTGGAGGGTCACATGCTGAGCCCCCTGCTGCAGCCTGGCACTGACGCTCAGAGATGTGACCAGGTGTGTGGAATGACAAGACTATACTGCTGGGCAGGCCAGGCCCCACAGCCTGGCTCAGTGGCTGTTTATTTATTCTCAGCTATCACTGCGGCTCTTTAGTCCTTTTCCCGCCCCTACACTGACCAGCTGGTGTGTGTGTTGTGAATAGTAGGCCTAGGCCTGAGCAGCAGCCCATGTCAGCCGCACACCAGGGCTGTGTGGGAACCACCCACCAGCCCTGGCTAGCAGGGTGCTGGGGCACTGAGGCCAGGCTTTCCCATGTCCCTGTTCCCCCTGGAATCGGGGTGGGAGAACCAGGGAGGTCTGACGGGGGTTCGTTGCTCACTCTGACCCAGGACGGGAACATGGGTCCCGAAGCCTGCAACAGGGAAAACATGGTTAGCTGTTCTGCTTGCATTCTTTTGGCATTCCTCTCCTGTGAGTGTTCCTGGCCCCCCCAGCAGCTGCGTGCCTCTGCCCTCCCCCCTCCACTCAGTGTACGCTAAAGTAAATGTTTATGCTGGACCTGCCGCAAACATTCTCCTCTTTGGAAGCCTCCCCCCTGCCTGGTGATCCCGCTGGCATAAGAAGACAGTGGAACAGAGACATAAAATCCTGAGCCTTAACATGCACCATGAGCATCTGATTCTGCATGAGGGTAGGTCCTGGTGGGGCATCACACACCTGCGGTGATGAGGACGGAGGTGCCAGTTTGGGCTGGCCTGAGCCAGGAGAAAGGGGTCAGGCTCACTCCTTCCCAAACTGAGACCAAGAAGAGAGATGTTGTCGGATGCTGGGATTCACAGACATCACTAGAGACTCTGGAACTTCCATGGGCCTTTCAGCTTCCTCCCTTTCCAAAACTTCCCAATGTATTGCTCATTGAGGGGACTGACTGGCCGAGTCAAATCTAGGACATCATCCCAGCATTTTGCGAGCGATGAAGAACGATCACTTAAGCCACCACTGAGGTGCAGCCACCTCTGGGGTGGAGTATCGTGATGTTTTGATGGCATCGAACAACGCAGGAAGTGAAGAAGGAGTCCTGTGTCCAGCAGACACTGCAGTGGGGATTTGGTGAGGCAGAATAGAATTAACAGAGTTGGAAACTAGCCAAGACACAGGAGTTCACACTCCTGTTTCTCTAATACAGGCCTTAGGAGCTTTAATAGCAACATGAGGTCAAGACCTGGGCTTTATATCTCCTCCCAATGATGCTCCCTCATCAGCAGCACTGGATGGGGGAAGACTCAGCTCCGCCCAATCAGTAGCAGACTTAGATTCTTTGGAAGTCTCCCATCCAAGTACTGGCCGAGCATCCACCCTGCTTAGCTTCAGGAGGCTGAAAGGCTCACAGCACATGGCATCTCAAAGGAAAATAAACAAATGCAATCATGAGGCTGGGCTGCATAATCACAGTTCCTGCAGGGTTTGGCCACAGACCAGCAGGCTTCTCTGATGTGGGCTCTGTTCAGCATGCAGTGGCCAGGGTAGTGGTGGAAGACCTTGGTCGCCTTGCAGCCTTGCTGTCCCTGTAGCAGGAAGCTTGCAGTGAGGCCCTGTCTGGGAGCAGATGGTTCAGATTCGAAGTTTGCAATGCTCTCCCTACAGGGCTTTGGGAAACTTTATCCCCTGCCTGACGCAGGCTAATTTTAACATGTTTTTATTTGATCTTTTCTTCTTGCCAAGATTTAAATAAAAGCCCTTTGGCAGCAAATTCTTATGTCCGCTTGGCCTTCCCCCCCGCCCACTCCCAGTGCTCTGCAAGCTGCGCTGGGGTTCCCACAGGAAGCTACAGAGGAACATTCACTGTCCAAGAAGTTTGAGCAACCTCCTGCGTTCATGAAACCCTGAGATCCTCTGCTGTAGCTAGTGGAGAAAATCAAGTTCCAGGTGCAGGGTCTGAGGCAGACAGGCTACCGCTCTCCTGATCCTTCCCCCCATAAAAACATGCAGCGGTCAGTAGCCCCACTGGCAGGGAAGAAAAGGGGGAGGAAAAAGAAAGAGCGAGCCATGCGCCTGTTCTGCCAAAAGTAGCACACAGAACTGACGTGTATAGACATGGAAAGCTCCTGGAGCTCAACGCCCATTGTGCTTACGGAACTCTGGAGAAGGGCAGTGAATGGGATTTGCCCCATTAACAAACCCAAGGTTAAGTGGTGCAGGCAAAGGTGTGTAGCAGAGTTCTGAACCATGCGTCCAACCTGCAAACAGGGGTGCAAACGGGGGTGTGGTGAAAAGGGAAATCTGGCCAGAGCTCCTACATCAGCATTCATGTGGGTCAGGCTACAAAATGAGCAGGAATGAGGCAGCTTTAGCACATCCTGGGTGGCACAGCCATGGCCTCACGCATGCACATGGGAGCAGCGAGGTGTGGAGCCCCTGTGCCCACCCCCTGCAACTGCAGTATCCTAAATCCCAGAAGTAACCATACTTTGCACTTAAAAAGGGCTGCTCTGCTGTCAATCTCAAGGTGCTTCACAAAGTTCTTTCCACTCCACTGCATCAATGGGGAAACTGAGGCACAGAGCAGTGACGTGACTTGCCTAAGTTGATGCAGCAGGTCGGTGACAGAGCAATCCTGCGTCCAGCCATCCTGAGTCTAGCTATCCATCAAGTGTGAGTCTGAGCCCTTTGCTCTCAGTACAGCTGGATGAGATTTTTTTGTGCAAAACTTTTTTTCTCCCAAAAATGCAGATTCAGGTCAACCAAAACAATGCTT